TGAATTTTTCTCTTCCAAAACCTAGCACAAACTTCATGAAAAATAGTTTAGCATACAGTGGAGCGGTCACCTGGAATTCTCTAAGTGATGACATCAAATCAACCGAGGATGTCATTGCTTTCAAAACGAAGGTTTCTAATAATATACAAGATTCTCTTAGTCTCTAATGCTTTTATTGTATATATGTAAAATAATCATTCAAATTATCGTAAAATCTAGTTTCCCCTTTGTTTCCCTTTCTCTCCTTTCTTCCTATATTTATACATAGATTTATAATTTTATATAATTGTATATATGCACGGCTCTCAGGAAGAGCATTGTTTGTAATGATGAGATTTCCGTGTTGAAATAAAGTTTATACATACATATACATACATACATACGTACTAGGCTGCCCTCGACCTATTACCCTCGACCATTAGTCAAACTCGCCATCACGTAACATTAAAGCTTGCGCAAGGGAAATTATCATTCAATGTCAATTATCACACAAAGTATTCATCGTGTCAGATTTCACAATGTCGGTAGCAAAAAATAAACGCTCCGCAAAAGAATTAAATAATTCTGCTTTGAGTACTCCTACTAAGCCAAGTACTAAGGTACAGAAAAAGAAGTTGATGACGAAGTGGTCGAAAAAAAATGGGATCTAGAATCGCTATTTAAGCTAGTTGAGAGCATGAACAAGAAACTGGACAAGCTTGAATCAATCGAAGCGCATTTAAAACACGTGGATCATGATATCACTGAACTTAAACACTCGCTATCTTATATGCACGATACAACTGAAGAATTGAAGTTAAAACAAACCTCCTATGATGATATATTGTTGAAAAATGAAGAAAAAATAGGCAGTCTCGAGAAGTTGGCGTCAACCCTTAAAGAAGAGCTAATTGACCTCAGGGCACGAAGCATGAGGAGTAACCTTATGTTTTACAATCTACCTGAGAATGATGAAGAAGATCCTGAAAAAGTGGTGTCAGAGGTATTGGAGAAAATCAATCCCGAATTCAAGAAGATGGAAATCGAAAGGGTGCACAGAATTGGGAAAAAAAGGTTGGGTTCGGTGCGACCTATTGTTGCGAAATTCCTCCGCTTCAAAGATAAGGAACTTATCTGGAAGAACAGCAAAAAGCTAAAAGGTACCAAGATTGGAATATCCGAGCAGTATCCCAAGGAAATCGCCGAGGAAAGGAAAAAGCTATACCCAATAATGAAAGAGGCAAGACAAAACGGATCAAAAGCAGTCATGATCAGAGACAAGTTGTATATAAATGACCAGAGGTATTTTCCGACACGTTGATAGATCCGTTCAATCCTGCATGTTTAAATAAACTTTAATTTTAGATATCTACAATAATATACACGATGTTTATCTGTTTTTTAATAAGTATATATACCTACTCAGCACAAACTTTAATCAAAAACCAATCTAAATGCCTATATATAATGATCAAACAGTAGAAACATATTGCTACACGTGCAACTTGCAAATTACTGATAAGTCAATTAAATGTTATATATGTGGCAACATTTTTCACACAAAAACAGGATGCACTAAGATTATAATCAATGACCTAAAAAATGTGATATTAAATAATGATTCGTTTGCATGTCATCAATGTTTGGAATCCTGTTTTCCGTTTAATAACCTAAATAATCCTGATTTTTTACAAACTATTGAAAACTCGACATCAGAGATTCATATGGACAGAATTAATAATTTAGTATTTGATCCGTTTAAAAGTTTAAATAATAGTGAAACTGAAAACCTTGACGATTCTCTGCAATTAATCCGGTAATTGAAAATTCTTATTATACCACCAATACATTTAATAACTTAATAGAAACTAAAAATATAGCTTCAAATAACTTATCACTACTGCACCTAAACATAAGAAGCTTAAAGAATAAAGTCGACTCTCTTCAAACTTTTCTAAATATACTGAAATTAAAATTTTCACTAATAGCGCTTACAGAAACTTGGCTTAAAGACAACATTGACATAAACTATGACATACCAGGATATAGCAGTATTTACTTAAAGAGGAAAGCAGATAAATCTGGCGGCGGAATTTGCGCATTTATAAGAGATCACATTGAATTTAAAATCCGCGATGATATCAATGGTATAACAACCGGGAAACACAATGTAGAATTTTTATTTATTGAAATCCTGAATCATAATAGCCCTAATGTTATAGTCGGAATTATTTATCGACCACCCAATAGCAAATATGATGAATTTGAAAAAGCTTTACGTAAAATCCTATCGAAAGTAGATAGAGAAAATAAGCCTTGCTATCTAATGGGAGATTTTAACATTGATTTACTCAAGTATGAAAACTGTTCTTTTGCAAACAGATTCTTCAACCAACTAACATCCTCTGCGTTTCTCCCCCTTATAACTAAACCAACGAGATTAACTGAACAAACAGCAACCTTAATTGACAATATATTTTGCAATCAAGTTAGCTATCAACAACAAATTAGTGGAATATTATTTAACGATTTATCGGATCACCTACCAGTATTCCAAATATGTCTAGATTATAACCAAAATCAAGTTGAAAACGGTGTTAAGCTAAGTAAAACTCGACCAATGCCTGATGCAGCACGAGAATCCTTTGTTAATGAATTAAATAATCAAACATGGTCATCTACACTATCAAAACCTGACGTTGAAAAATCTTATGAAGAGTTTCAAAAGTCCTTTCAAGGAATTTTTAACAAACATTTTCCAATAAAAGTGGTTAAATTAAAAGACAACATATGCCCTAAGAAACCATGGATAACTAATGGACTAATAAAATCCACGAAAACGAAAACTAAACTATACAGGAAATTTCTATGCAAGCCAACAGAATTTAATAGAACGAAGTATAAAATATTCCGAAATAAATTAAACCATCTTATAAGAGTCTCCAAGAAAAGGCATTTTCAAAAACGGTTAAATGATGCCAAAGCTGATTTGAAAAGTACATGGAAAATACTAAATGAATTAATTTGCAAAAAAGGAGAGAGAAAACAGCTACCTTCTAGGTTTACTCTAGAAGATGGCAGGGAAATAAACAATCCAAACACAATTGCGAATAGATTTAATGAATTTTTTGTTAATGTAGGACCAAATTTAGCTAAGAAGTTCGATCCGAATTCTAACAATTTCACCAAGCACCTACAAGGTGACTATCAAAAATCTATGTTTCTAAAAAGCACTTCACAAACAAAGAAATTGAAGAAATAATTGCCTGTATGAAATCTAAAAGCAGCTGCGGAATCGATGGAATAAGTTCCAAACTTATTAAACACATTTCCCATATTATTTCAATACCACTGTGCCATGTTTTCAATCTATCCTTCACATGTGGTATTATACCTCGTGAGTTAAAAATGTCGCTAGTTACACCCATTTATAAGACTGGTGACAAAACCAAATTTACGAATTATAGACCTATCTCAGTCTTACCAAGTTTTGGAAAAATACTAGAAAAAATAATGTTTAAACGATTAACATCCTACATCACTAAACATGATATCCTCTATGACAAACAATACGGATTTCGGAATAAATACTCAACAAGTCTCGCAATGATTGATCTAGTTGACAAAATATCTACTGCAATAGAAAACGGGGAATATACTGTTGGTATCTTCTTAGATCTTTCTAAAGCATTTGACACCGTAAATCATAAAATCTTATTGACTAGACTTCATCATTATGGAATTAGAGGTATATGCAATGATTGGTTTGCAAACTACTTGACTGACAGAAAACAGATAGTTAAATATAATGTAACTTACTCAACTGAAAAAACGATCAAATGTGGAGTTCCTGAAGGAACAGTTTTGGGCCCATTACTTTTTCTTTTATATATCAATGATATACATTGCTCTAGTAATCTTTCGTTTATATTGTTTGCAGATGACACCAATTTATTTCGTTCAGGAAAAGACCTGAAACAACTTGAAATAGAAATAAATCATCAACTTATACTTGTGCAAACATGGCTTAAGGATAATCAGCTTACCTTAAATATTAAAAAGACTAACTACATTATATTCAAATCATTCAGGAAAAAACATAACGCAAATCTAACCTTTAAGATTAATGATAAAATTATACAAAATGCTAAAGAAACTAAATTCCTTGGTATTATAATTGATGAACACTTAACATGGAAAAGTCATATTGATTACATAACTAAGAAATTATTAAAAGTATCTAACATTCTTTGTAAAGTTCGTCACTACCTAAATAAAAAACATCTCATAACTCTATATCATACTCTTGTTTACCCACATTTATATTACGGTAATATACCATGGGCTAGCAATTATAAAACAAGATTAAAGTCAGTATCAATTATACAGAAAAAGATTCTGAAAATAATATCATTTTTGCCTTATACTTTCTCATCTTCAACCCTTTTTTCAACGCTAGAAATACTAAATATTAATAAGATAAATGCTTTTCAAGTTGGTTTGTTCACATTCGACGCAGTAAAAAATACACTACCACCTCAATTTGATTCACTTTGCATAAAAAAAACAATGTTATTCATTGCCATAATACCAGAGGCTCTATGAAATTACACAAACACTACAATAAAACAAACTATGGACTGTATTCCACAAAAAACAGATGCACAGTAGTGTGGAATATGTTGCCGGAATACATTAAAAATAGCGATAGTAAATACATATTTAAGTGCAATCTAAAATTATATCTTCTTTCTTCTGAAGATTATTAGTAGTACTCACAAAAAATGTAAATAAAAATAATTTATAACTTTATAAAGTTAATTTGTATTAGTCGACCTCACATATCTTGAACCTGACATTATCTGACACTATTCTCCTTTGTTATATTAGTTTGTTTTTTAAATTTTTAAGGTGGACTACTAGAAAAGCCCTGACGGGCTTGTTAGTCTTCCTTCCATATGAATTGTATCTTTATACTTTATCAAAACTGTAACTGTATAATGGAAAAATAAAATATCTATCTAACTGATGACACATGTGTTGACGTCTCTCCACAATCGTTCAATCCTTTGATTATGGACAGAAAGGCCAGTTAAAATTGGTTTTGAAGCGGGTCCAAAATGCTGCAGCATCCACCTGGCAACACCAACATTTTCTGTCCCATGATCACTCCGAATTCGACGGGGACATTTGTATGTGGACATGCTATTGAGAAACAATTGAAATACTGTCTGACTTCGGTTGTCACAAGCACAGCCAAGATAAACAACAGCTCTTGAAAACCCATCAATTCCTCCATGAACTACAAATCTCCATCGGATCATCTTGTGATTACCATCTCTGTGCCTGAAATTTTAAAATACTAATATTCATATTACAATTACATCATGCTTGATGTCTTACAACACCCAATTTTGGGCTCTTTACAATAGTGTCTACCATATTAACATACTACAATGCATTACTACAATGCAATGTGACCCTCAAATCTTGGAAGAGAAATAGTGTATTGGTCCCTCCCCCATTAAATCCATCATTATGCACCTATCAATGTTGACCCCCAGAGGGGGGGGGGGGTCGGGCATATGTGGGGTATTTGATCTTGATCATCAATTGCATCCCCACCCTGGGGATTTTGATTAGCATTTTGGCCCGAGTTGGGGCAATTTGAACCGAATGGCTTTTATTAACATAGTATTTATTGCAATTTATTGCAAAATGGTGGGGCATTTGACCAATATTTATTGCCCGACGGTGGGGCATTTGATTGAAAATTTGCTCAAAAAATCAAATGCCCCACCTATGCCCGACACCCCC